TCTTGAGCGTGCATCATGGACAAGTACATGGTGCCAAAAGCCACAGTTAAACTCAGTGGCACCCATGGGAACGTTGCTGTATCTGACTTTTTGCCCCATTGTAGCTCTTGTTCTTCACGCTGGGCAGCCAAGCTGGTCCCCACTTCCGTATGCCATTCCTACAAACAAGAGAGTGATGTAAGCTTGTGAGAATGCTGAAATAATGAAGAAAGTACTTACTCTGAGTAAATATTCGTCTCGACTTGCATCACGGAGACTGGTGTAAAGTTCTTCTAGTAATTGAGGAAAATCTTCCTGGAAACGTTGAAATTCTTCTCGCCGAGCTGTCACGTCTGAGAGATTTGTCTGTATGTATCGCATGGCCACCTGCTTCAGATGTGCGGCATGTACCAACTCGGCAACGATCAGGACTTCAAGGCAGTTGGCTGTGTTCAGAGCAATCGCGTGCTCGCACAAACGCTTCATTCGCTCCAATCCGTACTTGTCCGCTGCCACGAGATCTTCCAGGAGTTGATCACTTACATCTGCATCGGTCTCTTCGTTCCTCTTCAACTGCTGTAGCGCGACCTGGTCGTAGTAAATGAAGCGAAGCACTCGCACAATCGCAGCGTATGAGTCTTCCACGTTCACAACTGCCATTTTTCTCTCGTTATTTGCACTCTCTGCAAGGTGGTGGAACGCTAATACAGCTCGGAAGTACTCGCTTCGAGCAATCAGCATGCAGCGATGTACAGGAATGCTGCGTCCTTCAGCTATAAGCACTATGTCGGCCCATACTTCGTCACTCAAAGCGAACTTCATGTCGTCGTTTAGCGTTCGTGTAGATCCGCTTAGCGTCTCCATCTCGTCGTCATCTTCACTGTTACTATCACTCATCTCGTCTTCAGCAATCTTTGATGTACCAAAGAGAGACGATGACGAGAAAAGACGCTCACGACAAAGCAGCACCAGACTGGGAAGTTTGTAGAGTTTCGCCGCTCGTAGCACGTCGTGAATAAGGTAATACGAACTCTTGCTCACTTCGAGAGCAAAGCTGTCCGTGTAGATAAACTCCAATACTAGTCGAGCCACGTCCACTCGCAACGTCGGAAGCAACAGCTCCATCGTCTCAGACACTGACTCAGTCGCTGCGAGGCGATGTTGCTGTTGCTGTTCTTCGTTTAGAATGAGCTCGCGCAACACAGGACTTCGCTGAGCGAGCAGTAGCTTGTGAGCTGGGAGACGTTGCCCCGAGACGACTAAAATGAGATCAGCACTAGCGATACCATTATTCTCTTCTTGTGCGATGGAGTCACGATGCAACTTGGCCATAGACCGTGCCAGAAAACTGCCTGAAGTGAGGGCGATAGTCTGGCGACCACCACACACCACGTGCTCGACGCTGTGAGTTCCAATATCAGCAGAGGCTCCAGCATTCGTACCAACTTGACCGGAGTTCACAAGCTTCGGTAGACTGGAAAGAACCAGACTGTCTGAGTCGTCAGCGTATCCTTCGCCCCACATGTAGAGGTCTCCGGTGTCTGAGATAGCTGCGGCATGTTGAGCTCCTGCACTGACCCAACAAATGCGCATATCGGGCGTGGCAAAGCACGGCATCCTCTGGGGAGTCATCCACTTCAGTTGCGGTAATCGAGGGCATGATGAAGACGCCATTGATGACTTTTTGCGCTGTGAGAGAAGCCGCTGATGGCGTTGGAGGATCGTTTCAGCTAATAGAGCATTCTTCTGGCTGCCGTACAGTCCGTGACCGAGCACCGCGCCACCACACGCACCCCACGTCCACACTTGTCCGTCGACTGAAAGCCCCATACTCCAATTCTCACCAGCCGCAACATCACGCCACTGTTTGTGCACGTATTCTTTAAACACTGCTGTGGGGGTAAGAGCGTCACTGACATCGCCTCGACCCTGTTGGCCGCTGTTACCTCTTCCCCAAGTAACAAGAGTACCAGCTCTAGTAAGACCAACACAATGGGCATCTCCACAGGATACCTTCGAGAGCAAAGGATCTTCGTGACGTGCAGAGTTCACTTGACCCGTGTGAATACTCTGAATCTGCCTCGGTGTCAATTGAAATGACTGGAACTGCTTCCTTACAGCTCCACCTCCATGCCGTCGAGATGTCCGAGCGATAATTGGAATCCGTCCGAGTCCAAGACGCCCGTCGCTCCATTTTCCCCATGAGAAGGCGTGTCCTTCACGTGTTAGAGCGACACAAAACCCACTACCGCAAGAGACGGAGCCGACGGTCGACGTGGCTCCATTCACATTGGTCTCCACTGATGGTAAGGTTATTCGTTGAGGTGTTGACGCACTCCTGAGTGTCCCTCTTCCCAAAGCGATCCCCACTCCCCACGTATACAGCTCTCCATCTTGACTGACAGCTGCAGAATGTGCTCCAACTAATTGGTCTCCACCACAAGAGATGTCCTGCACAACGATTAGATTGTCGAAGAAGTAGTCCACCAAAGAAGGCTGAGCTACGTAGCCGCTCAATTCATAGCCGAGCCCCAACGCACCGTCCAACGTGTGTCCGTATGAGAACACCAACCCCATATCGTTGAGAAAAAGCGTGTGAAAGCGACTGCAAGCGGCCTGCACAATGCGATTTCTCGGAAATGGCTGCGCAAACCAACAACGAGGTTAGAACAGTAAAATTTATGGCCCGAACTAGTGGA